GATGTAGAACATTGAACACACATTTTCGTCAATTGGATAATATATGTCCGTTTTTTAAATTTCGAATCACAGTATATGCAGAAAAAAAAATTGATTTTGTTTTTACTTTATGTATTATATGATGATTCAAAACAGTTAAAAAAAATCAAACAAAGATGATAGGAAAATCATAATTCAAAATCTTAATCAAATTTTCTAAATATTTAAATTATTAAATATGAAATATTCGGTGTATGAGTTGGGTTAAATATAATCCGACCCAATAAACTTTTTATGACCAAAATTTGTAAACGTCGGGTATCCAAAGTATCCGAGAACAATTTTACCCACCCGACTCAAAAGTAACTGCAAAAATACTAGTATAGATATGAGTAAAGTGAATTTTGATAGTTAAACTTAAAACGATTAGAAATGGTAACAGATCTCTTCTCATCTTTTTCCTTCGTCCACTTGTCATAACTTTCACCGTTGACCAAAAAAAAAGAAACAACAAATGTTAGTACACATGTCCACATCCACTACAAATGTCCACTCTTCTCCCTTACTAAAAGATAAAAGAAGTTTTCTCTATAGGTACGTTACAACAAACATGGGAATCCAGAAGAATCAAGCAACCCACACAACCACAAGAGACTACTTCGGCAACAATCACATGTGACCGATCCCACAGTGATTACGATCTCTGCTCAATCAACGGCTCATGTATTCTCGACCCCAAAACCGGTACTTTTACTCTCATGGACCCAACATTTGCAACATCACTTGTTGAGAAAATCAGGCCATACCCAAGAAAAGCTGAAAACTGGACCATGCCTAGGATCAAAGAGCTAACATTAAGCTCAGGCCCATTGGGCTTGACCCGAGCATGTGACATAACACATGATTCGCCAGCGATTGTGTTCAGTGCCGGAGGTTACACCGGAAGCATTTATCATGATTTCTTGGACGGTTTCATTCCTCTTTTCATCACCGCCAACTCCGTATACCCGGATCGCGATTTCATCCTCGTGGTAGTGAATTCTAAGGAGTGGTGGATGCCGAAATACATCGATATTCTAGGTGCGTTTAGCAAACACAAAACCATACTACTTGACAAAGAAAATGCTTCTTTTACACATTGCTTCCCTTCAGTCACTGTGGGTCTAGTTTCACATGGGCCTAAAATAATAGATCCAACCCAAATACCCAATTCCAAATCATTAGTAGACTTCCACAATCTTTTAGACAAAGCCTTAAACACAAACTAATTTCTTCTCAAAACTCACAAGCCTCGTCTCATATTGGTTAGTAGATATGGGAACATTGGTCGGGTGATACTAAACGAGAAAGAGATCAAGGAGATGCTTGAAGATGTTGGATTCGAGGTAGTCACATTTAGATCATCGAAAACGACGAGTGTAAGAGAAGCGTACAAACTTATAAAGTCGAGCCACGTGATGGTTGGGGTTCATGGTGCGGCACTAACCCATTTGTTGTTTCTTCGACCCGGTTCAATGTTGGTTCAAGTTGTTCCGCTTGGGCTAGGTTGGGCGTCAAAAACGTGTTACGAATCGCCAGCTAAGGCAATGAAGTTGGAGTATATTGAGTATCGGGTGAATGTGGAAGAGAGTAGTTTGGTAGAGAAGTATAACAGAGATGATTTGGTTTTGAAAGATCCGATTGCTTATAGAGGAATGGATTGGAATGTGACTAAAATGAAAGTTTATTTAAAAGAACAAGATGTTAGATTAGACGTGAATCGGTTTAGGAAACATATGAATGAAGCATACGAGAAGGCTAAATTGTTTATGGACTTAAACGGTTGATAGACGTTTATGGTTTGTCGTAATGATTTGTGATTTTTGAATTTGAGTTGTAAAATAAGATGTTTGTTAATAAAATCATTTGTAGTCATATATATGGGTGAGCTATAGATTGGTTCAATTATTTTGGAATAATTGTTATACTAATTGGTGTTGCGTAACATTATTTGTTAGCTTATATGATGAGTTTCTATTGGACCCCAACGCATCTATTTCATATCCAATCAGCTTTATTCGCGTTGAAATTAAGCTTGCACTTTTATTTCTTTTTTTTTACCTTCGAACCATAATTTCATTAATCAGAAAAAGTCACACTTGCACTTTAACAAACATATTTTTAATAAATTCCATTTTTTTTCTTTCAAATAATCAAGTTTTTTTTTTAAAAAAGAGAGAATAATTTTAGTAATTTCAAAATTCATAAGACGGAAATTTAGCCATCAAAACGGAAATTAAGTTGGAAAATAAAGTAGATGAAGGAAATTACGTAAATGCCCCCGTTTCTTTTAATATTTTTGCTTCGAATTATTTTGGCCAATGGAGAAAGAAGAATTGTGAGTCGCCGCAGCTATCACTCTGTTCTGTCACTTTGTCTTTACTCTCTCAGAGAATCGCCAGAGAGAGAGCGAGAGGAAGGAGAATGGAGAAGGCATTAACGAAAGTGACGAGCTTTAAAGTGGGAAGTTCATGGATCTCAAAGAAAGCTAAAGAAGAGCTCTCAAACATCACCAATGACCTCACTGTGAGTGCTCTTTGAATCTATATCTTCTTCTTGATTTGTTTCTTCTGGGTTCTTGCATGTGATTCCTATGTCAAGTTTATGGGTTTTTGTTACTTTTGGTCTAATGTTGTGATTAAAAGGCGATTCTTTTGTGAAATCTTGTAGTTGGATGTTATCGAAATTGTACAAGAATCATAGATCTAGGAAGATCTGAGATGGGTTTTGCCAAGTGAAGATGAAAATTAGTTAAGATCATTAGAATTGTTGATACATAGTCATATCTCAGACCAATTTTGATTATGAGTCAGAATAATCTTTGAAATTTTGATATAAAGAGTCCAATTTTAGCAATTTGATGTAGAAACAAGATCTGATTTTTTACCAAGTTGAGATTTTAGCATTAGAGAGTCTTTAGAGTTTCCAATTTTAGTCATTGTTTAGTAGAAAAGATGAATCCTTTTTGGTAATAATGTGTTCATCTCCTGCTTTTTGTGTTCTTGAGTTTGCTATAGTTGTGCCAAGATTTCTATTCTAAGACCATTTCTCGAACTTGTATCATTCGATTTATCTCATTGATTCACTACTTAACTAAGTATATGGTTGATTTGCATTGCCTCAAATGGTTATATAATGTTCATTTTGTTTTCCAGACTTTCTCCAGTACTGTTGAAGAGAAAGCAAAATGGGTTTTCAACAAGCTTAAAGGTAACAAACACCATTGTAGCTACCATAGTTTAAAAATCGAAGATGCCAAAGTTCCTAACCTGCGATTTTGTTTTATGTGTTCTCTTTATAACAGGAAAACCACTCAAAAGCTTACCAGATCTCCTCAAAGAATACAACTTACCACCAGGACTCTTCCCACAAAACATAATCTGTTACGAATTCGACGAGACAAAGAACAAACTCACTGTCTTCTTTTCTTCACCATGCGAAGTCACATTCAAAGACGGATCAGCGATAAGATACGCAACGCGTGTGAAAGGGATTTTGCTTCGAGGGAAACTTATGGGTGTGGAAGGAATGAAGACAAAAGTCTTGGTTTGGGTTAAAGTCACAACAATATCAGTCGAGAGCTCGAAGTCTGACAAGCTCTGGTTCACTGCTGGTGTCAAGAAATCTCGTTCTAAGGATGTTTACGACACACCTCATGATGCTATCAAAGTCGTTGGAGAGTTCTAAGGATTTTTTTTCTTTCAGAAATGGTTATAATCATATTTGATTCATGAATTTATTTGGGTATTTGGGGTTATTTGCATTTTGGGAAGAGGTATACTTAAAGGGAATGTGTTTATATAACTCTCATTTTCCTCCTATATATGCAAGAAATCACAAATAAATATCAAAATAGACTACTACTGATTATTAATTATAAGATAATATGGTAATATGCATAAGTAATCAAAAATACAGAACCATAACAATTTCAAACTATTCTATAGAATAATCAATAATCAAAATATGGCAGAGAAGAAGAGCCACCAACTTGCATCGAGTCAGAAGATCCAGGGCTGCCCTGACCTAAAGCCCAAAAAACAAGGGTTTTAGGCCGCCAAAATATATATAAACTTTTGAGGGCATCAAATTAATAAAATAGTATATAGCACAGCCGCTGTTCCGGGTTTAACCATTTCTTCTTGATCTGGGTTCAAGCCTTCCAAACAACATTTTGCTATATTTTTAATATTTATGGACAAAAAAAAAAATTTTGGCTTTAGGCAGCCCATAGTATTGGGCCGGCCCTGAGAGGATCCAACCACACCACACATCACCAGAGAAGAAGGCGCCCACCACCGCTTCAAACCCTGACCCAGCCACCAGCGATGATGATCTTAAAGCTACGGCCGGCTGCGACTCAAAAAAACCCTAGATCTAAAACAGAGGAGAGAGAAGGAAAGGAACGATTGTCCGTCTCTTTAGGGGGTCCCAAACCTAAACAAAATGTGTGGCTCATTTACTCAAGATTTTTTGTTAAACGAGAAAAACAACATTTTGGATCATAAGATTAAAACAATGCATTGATGTTCTTAAGAAAAGTTTGGAGACTCTAAACAAAATAATCTCTTTGTTCCTAATAGTTTGATGTTTTAGAGTTTTCACGCATATTAAGAATTCAATCATTGTTTAATCATTTGAACATTAATTTTAATATTACATATTTTAAAATAATTATCAACCAATAGTAATTTAAGAAAGTTAATTATTTTCAATCATTACGCCTTGAAGTTTACGATTTATTATTATATATCAATAAAAATAAAAATAAAAAACTAAAAAATCAATCATTGTGGAACAAATAACAAAAGCTAGAACCTCAATCTTTTAGGAGAGTATCTAGTAAATGATCTTAACAAGCTCCAACTTCTTCTTGATTTATATGGTCGGCTAAATTAAATATGAAACTAACACATTCTTGAAACTTTGTAGCGAGAATGTGTTTTGGCGCTATTACACAATTTTAACTCCTTAGAGCATGATTATTGGTTGGACTCACATTATGAGTCCAAATCATATATATAATTGTAAATAATACAAAATCTGAAATTTAGACACTTTTGAGTGTTTTAAAATTTTGACAGTCCAATAGTAGATCCATCAAATGAGGATCTAAAAATTTCAAAATTTGAAAAAATGTGTATTAGTTAATTGTGTTGCAAGTGACTTGAATATATAACTTGACATACATAATCAAGACTAGCAAAAGGTTCACAAACGCCTGCATTAGATACAAAAACAGAGTATGAGACTAGAAGAAAACAAAAGGAAGAGCCCCTTTTGTTATAAATCAAAAGAGTAAACAAAGAGAGGTTATTACCTGCAGTAACCATCACTTGTGATTGGGTTAGCTTGTTTTCTTCACGCAGCTTCAGAAGAAACACGAGGAATCAAAAATAAACAAAACTCAGAGACGGTACTGGATTAAAGAAAGGTTTGCTAGCAAGAATAAAATGATTCAATCTTGGGTGATTACCTTATTCAGAAGAGTCTGTCTTAACTCCAGAAGACCTTCATCAGGGCCATAAGAACTAACCATAGGATCCCAAGCAAGGTCCTTGACCTTCTCTTGACATGGGGTTCGTCAATTCGGCCATTAAACTCCAAATCTGCACTTAAAACCCAACAATTTTTCACTAAAGAAATACTAGTAAACAAAAGACAAGAACAATCAAAATCAAAATCAAAATGGAAGTGGAAGACCTTCTTGGGTGATTACCTTATTCAGAAGAGCCTGTCTACACATGAATTAACAAGCAATTATGGCTACAAACAAAAAAAGAGCAAGTTGTTCTTAATTTAAAGCAAATAGATAGAGTACCTCACTAAAAGAGTTGAAATAAACTGATTCCACAAGATTTCGTTAATGTTTTCGATAAAATTACACACCTTTAAAAGCTTCGTTAGCCTGGTTTTTCAACTCCTCTGCCCGTGAAATCAATAAGTTTCCTACACATAAAAGGGATCTAGTTTAAGAGAATAAGAGCTTTAGACATTGAAATCATACTCAACCTAAATAAAGTCTAGCTTTTTAGTATTACAGCCACTCAATTTAGTCATGCAACAAGATTCATAGCAGGAAGAGAACTCATTCACACAAAATCATTCCTACACATTAATTAACTTGAAAAACGCATGAGGAACACATGAAACACACCGATTTGCTGAATCAAAGGCGCCGATCGTGCTATGCATCCGTGGAGATGATGATGTCGGCGGATCGAGGACTCCGATGTCAGTAGTTCTCCGCAGTTTGCTTTCGATTTCAGTGATATCTCCGTGGTTTGGCGAAAGAGAAAACACAGAGAAAAAAAAATCAGTCGTAATACTAAATCTCGACCAACCACGTACCAACACGTACACAGATCCAAAGCTGATCTAAAGATCTAAAATTGGATCAGATCCATTGCTTTTATTTAGTTTGGATTTATTTTTTGGATTTTTTGGACCTTAGACTTCCATTTAGACCCACAGTTAATCATGCTCTTATGTTTACGTATATCTTATTTTATATTCGACTATTTGTTTCCATTTCCATGTTATAGTGACGAAAATTGCTACTATAAAATAATCCTGTTTCTTGGCTTTCTCGATGTGATAAGTGAGAGACGCGATTCGTTGTGGCAATGAATGAAAAGGGGCCCATTTGGGTCCTACAGATATTAAGGATGTATTGTCTCTTTGGCCCGTTTTCAAAGTTACTTGGGCCCTCCAAAAAAGTCAAGTTGTTCTCTTTTTTTTTTGTTGCCGCCTAGAATAGATTTTACTCCTTCAATAACCCTCACGTTTCCTCTTTCACCATTTTTACCAAGCAAAAATTATTAATTACCAAGTCAATTTCATCAAACAATGAACTCTATAAATAAATTGTAATCCATAAATCAGACTCATTTATGTATCTATTTCCTTTGTCCTAAAGAAAACAGCTCTTATGATTAGTCTTAAGTCTTAACCGACCATAAACTCTGGTCTATTTATTGTACACGTGGCAGAATCCGATTTGTAGAACGTGGTGAAGACAAACTGGTTAAAACCCGTCGAGTCGTGCTTGGAGCTGCTGGTTGACTTGCGAGGCACAAAACTCTCGTTGTCTTAAGGGACATAATTGTAATTTTATGCATAAACCGACGCTTTTTATAAACTTTCATTCCCTTATTAGCCAATCATTACTCAACAATTACAACAAAAACTAGATCACGATCCGTGCTATATAGTATATTGTATTAAATTATATATTTTGTTCGAAGAAATAAGAAATAATATAGTATAATAGTATAATATAAAAAGGAATATATAATAATATTATATATTTATTACTATTTAGATATAATGTTATATATTTTATTTGACTAAATAAGGAGAAAATATTGTATTTTAGAGTTTAATATATTTAGTAGCATTAGATTTGTATTTTTTATATGAGATTAACAATTTCTTTGGTTCAATTAGGTATTGATAATTTTATTGTGTGATTGTGAACAAACAAAAAAAAAAGTTGTATTGGGTCTAAGTTTTTTAATGGATTATATTGGGTTTGTGGGCCCAGTTTTATGGTTTTTAAAAAAAGGAAAAAAACGGTTTAACATACCTTTGGAATTTGCTAATGTGTTCGTTTTTGATGTCTACTTGAATTTTGTTACCCTGTAATTAAAATAAGATGACTTAAAACTTACGACTCATATATTACAAAGAGAATTGTATAAAATTTCAATGGTACTTACAGCCTCATCTGTCAAAATCATTTCCAAAGACATGCCAGAACTTTTTGTAAAATAAATCCACGAATGAAGTATACTAACTTGAATACACCAAAAAGTCTTGACAGGCTTCAAGTTGTTAAGAGGAGTGTAGCGACTAACCATAGCCATTTCTGCTGTATTTTTAATTGTAGGATATGAGAATGGTGCTGAGATGATTTCTGTGAGAAAGGTACGTCAAACCTAAATGGATATTTATAGTTGTAGATGGTTTGTGATAATTAGGAGATTCAGAAATATATTAATTAGCATAAAATAGTTAGATAATATTTTAGAAAGGTATATTCTAGATTATTTCGAATATAGGATCAAAATTATCTAACAGAGAGATTTGACAATCTTTAGAAAAGATTTTAAGGAAACTAAATAGCTGATTATATTGATGCGTGATTAAGCTAAACAAAAAAAACGTAAAACTAAACAAAAAAAACGATCTAGAATATAACAACTATTATAACTTATTTTTTTTTATAAAAGGTTTTAAGGAAACTGAATATATTCTCAAAGATTTTAGGGAAACTGAATATATTCTCAAAGATTACGAATTGCTTGAATACGAATTTATATCTAAACAAAATATAACAACCTAATATCTTTAAGATCTTTAAACCCGTTTTTCGTTATTTGACCCGTTTTTTAATTAATTTGTTAATGTTAGTGACATGGAATTAAAATGATTATGATTAGAGATCTCTACTGGCATATATTATAATTTCTTACACAATTAACGTTACGACTTATAGGATGTACCTCCCAAATAATAGTATAGGATATAACATTTTGAATATCATTTTCAATAACATTTTCGAACTATATGAGTATTATAATTCAAAATAACATTTTTTATAAATTGGATTGATATAAAATGTTTTCAATGATATATCATTTTCGTTAACATTTTCAATAACATTTTTTTATAACATGTTCGAATAATGGATTACTATATAACATTTTGAATAACATTTTCAATAACATTTCCGAATAATATATTAGTATATTAGTATAGGATTTTTACTAATTGTGTTACATTTTCGAATTGATTAGTCTATAACATTCTCGAATTATATTAATTATGTATTATATAAATAAAATCTTTTAATATCTTTAAATCAGTTTGACCCGTTAATATATATTAGTGAAATAGAATAAAATGATTATAATTAGAGATCTCTAATGGCATATATTGTAATTTTTTACAAAATCTAAGTTATGACTCTTAGGATGTACTTCCCAAATATTAGTATAGGATAGACAAAAGAATTTCACATTGCCGAATAAATAAATACGAGAAATATAAAAAGGAAATCTGTTAGATCCTTAAACGACTATATATATTATATACATCCAACATATTATTATAGCTTATGTATTTTTGGGTTAGTTCCCTAAAGAAATTTGAAGTTTGTTTGTAAAATGGTGCGGTAAGAAAATAGAATTAAATGAATAATTGATTTTGTGCATATTTTACAAATAATATGTTATCATGTTATGATATAAAATAAGTACTGAGTACATGCAAAATCAATAACCTATTTTTTAAAGATTTTATCATCATGTTGTTTTGCAAAGAAATCTTTGTATTTTACCTATCTACCAAATTAACTCAAATGTTATATGATTAAAAAATTTAAATTCTTGTGTAAGTAACCAATGCAAATTTAAATTGTAAATTACAAAAAGATTTTTTTTTTTTTTTTTGACCTCAGAAATTTTAATTTATTAAGACATTAACTTTCATGAGTAACTTTTTTCTTTTGGCCGTTTGGGACATATTCGAGTAAGTTATGAATTTCACTTTTTTTTTTTTGGGGAAAAATGAATTTCACTTTCTTGAAAATTGGAATTTTGTAGCATTTATTACGAATGATGTGTCATTTTCCTTAAAAATTACAGTATTTAAAAGGAAATCAGCTAAATAAAAAAGAGATAATTAGCTGAGAAGTAAAGATCTGGACTTAAATTAGTTTTTGATAAAATCTTGTCGGGGCTTAAGACAATTGCAACATTAGCCCATCATCTTTCCGTTTTTACCCTCACGCGTTAAAAGAAATGCAACAATATTTTTATTTCTTCCGAAACGAATATGCGTGTATATGTATATTTGTCAAGTATATGTTGTTTTATTATAGATATACACTTATCTATTTAGATCCACATCTCTAATTTATAAATCTGTATTTTAATGTGCATCTTTTTTTGTAGACATCTATTTATTCTTTTTTATTTTCACTTGATGTTGATATATAACTTACTATTCAATTTTTTTATTGTTCCGAAGTATGACTGATCTGGAGATACTTTCCCGATTGTTCGCCAATAGAGAGGAACCTGCTGGCGATAGGGTGAATATGTATTGAAAGGTCTTATGCCTGAAGAGATTGAAACCATTAGGCCTTGCTTCGGGAAACTTCTCGATGTCTACTCCAAACCTGTCTTCTCTAGCAAATTGGCTCACTCACTTTCGGTTAACCCACCAGCTTAATGTTGTCAAGCGACAAAATTCAAAAGTTTTTCCATGTACTTGTTTTCATTCCATTTCTTTCACGATTGTATAGTATCTAGTTTTTTTTTGTGTTTTTCTCGCTTCCCTCACTAAATTTTGTCTCCATATCCACAAATCTATTTAGATCCGCAATTTTTTAATTATCCATGAGTTTAGGTATTCAACTTCTCATGTAGATCTATATTTATTCATGTATATTTTTGTCAAGCATCTATTGTTTGTTTTAGATATCCACAGATCTACTTAGATCTGTATCTATTCATGTATATTTGCTAAGTATATGTTGTTCTATTGTAGATATCTACATATCTGCTTAGATAGTATGCAGGTTTGCATTAAATAGAAGTCACCTCCTTCCTTCTGTCACTGCATAACCGTCACGTCCAAAACAGAGACGTCGTTTCATTCTTTTTTGGTCAAAAAGTCAAACATGTTATCCCACTCGCATGAATACGTAAACGTCTGGTTTTTTCGTTATTATTGAGAAACTGAAGGGCATAAGTGAAGTTCTTTTTACGTTCCTTGAAAACAGAGCAGTCAATTACCTCTGAGCTAATTTGCCTCTCTGATTTTACCTCTAGCTAACTCACTCGATAAAAAAACAATTAACAAGAAAAATAAATGGATAAAATGAAAAAGATATCATATCTGCACCGCAGACTTTATACTGTATAAACAAAAACAAATTATTTATTGATATTTTTCGAGATCTGCTTGAAGAGACAGACACAAGAAAATCACAAAAATCTCTCCCATTAAAAGACTGCAGAAAGAAATATTTTTATATGGAGTACTAATCAAACAAAGTGAAAGAGAGAAACACGACACGAATTTTGTATAATTAAGATTATACCAAAAAAGTGTTAAAAAAAAAAATGTGAGTTGGGTTTGTGAAAGTTTTATCCTCTTTGTTCTCAAAATCGGAATCGATGGCGGAGAAAGAAGAAAAAGAACCGTCGAAGTTAAAATCATCCACCGGAGTTACACGGCCAACTATCGCACTTCCTCCTCGACCGTTTAGTGAAATGTTTTTTAGCGGTGGTGTTGGATTTAGTCCTGGCCCTATGACTCTTGTCTCAAATTTGTTCTCTGATCCTGATGAAATCAAGTCTTTCTCTCAACTTCTTGCCGGAGCTATGGCTTCTCCGGCTGCAGCTGCTGTTGCCGCCGCTGCTGTTGTTGCTTCTGCTGCTCATCATCAGACACCTGTGAGCTCTGTCGGTGATGGCGGTGGAAGCGGTGGTGATGTTGACCCGAGG